AATTTTATTTATATATTTTTTAATTATTATTTATGTTTTGTTTTTTTTCCTGGCTTAGTTTCAACCAAAATATAGACTAATGCTAATAATAGTAATAGTATTAATAATTGTAAATGGCCATTGGTCTCACCACCAGTTTGTTTTACTGTAAACTTGGAGGAAGCCAGCAGCGCAGGCTGCTACACACCGACCCCGCCCTCTCCCCCCCTCTCCGTCACACGTGCAATTGATTTATTGGCGATATACAGAACAGTGAGAACAACACAACTAAAGATGAACAAAGCGGTACGTTCAAAGAAGAGTTCCTCGTGGAAAGTGCAAAAAAAAAAAAATGGTGTCGCTTTTTTTTCTCTCCCGCGGGGGGGCGGCGGCGGCGGCGAATAATCGATTAATATTCGCCAGGGCTGTCCGATTTTCGAATTTGATCATGGTCAGTTTCTGGCATCCCTAGTCCAGAGAGTCAGGGAGGGAGGAGGTGATGAAGGTTTTGACTAACCGCCCAAAGCTCTTCATAATGATGGAGGTGAGTGCTACTAGGCGGTAGTCATTGAGGCTGGAGATTTTTGTCTTTTTGGGGACAGGAACGATGGAGTGTTCCTAAGGGACCTTTATAGACCACAATACATTTAGCAAGTTATGTCTCACACATCATCTTATCTTTGTCTTTACAGTATGCCCTTTTTCCAATGTGCGAGCAATGAAGCCATCCAGAGGACTGAGGCCTATGAGTACGCTCAGTCTCTGGGCTCCCAGCCCTGCTTACAGCCCAACTTCCAGGTGCAGTTATATTTTATTTACAGATATAATAATAAACCTAAAAACCTTATTTTGGCACTATATTAAAGATAAAAGAGGCCTATCCAAACTGATAAAGAAGTGTTTGCATTTCCCTACCTGCGTAACACTGTCTCTGCTCTGTTTATCTCTCTGAAGGTGTTCAAGTTGATCTATGCATGCCGCCTCGCTGAAGCCGGTCTGAGTGCTCAGGCCTTCCACTACTGTGAAGTTATTTCGAGGACTGTCCTCATGCAGCCTTCATTTTACTCTCCTGTGTTCATAAGCCAAATTATACAGGTATGCACTCACTCCTCTTCTCTCTGTTCAGATACGTAACGGTTTTAGCTAAATAAACAAATGTTATGTTGTGCTTTATGTCGACAGATGTCAGAAAAGCTGCGATTCTTCGATCCACAACTGAAGGAGAAGCCGGAGCAGGAGCTGTTTGTTGAACCTGGATGGCTGAGCCACCTCAGGCAGCTGGACGGACAGATACGGGTAAGGAGGAAACGGAAGGTTTCCGATGGGCTGCTCAGACTTGATTGCAACGTCTTATACTTGAATCGTTCTGTGTAGTTTGTTCCCATGTACCAAATGTTGAATGTGTGTCTCCTCTCCAGACGGGGGTGATCACCTACAGTGAGGACAGAGCCCCCTCCTCTCAGTACGACTGCAGCAGCCCCAGCTCGGACCTGGACCAGCCCAGCCCCTCTGAGCCCTACAACATGCCGGTGGAGATGGACGGCCCCGCCCCAGACAACCGGCTGATGAGCTCATTACTGCCTGGGCCCCCACAGCAGGGAGTGCAGCTGATGCCTCCAGGTGTGTGTGTGTGTGTGTGTGTGTGTGTGTGTCATTAACATCTCTTTACTCTGAGCCATACTAGAAACGCATCACACTCCATGTTCATTCAACTGATCAACATTTGACCTCTTGTTGTGATATCTTCTTTTAACCGTTTCTTATATAATGACATTTGAAATGTAATCTTGTTTCTGCTTTAACTCCTGAATAAAGCTCCATCTTATCTCCCCTCCTCTTCCTCTCAGCTCCCACCTCTATCCTCCAAGACGGGATGGCCCCTCCTCAGCATTTCCAATCCAACGACGTGCCCCAGTTCTACCCGGTCCCCCCCAGCGGACCCCCAGGCCAGATGCCAGTCTCCCCAAGCTACCCTCCGCAGGGCCCCGTCTTCGCCCCCCCTCCCTTCCAGCCTCAACCTGAGCAGATAGAGATGTTCCCAGGGGCCCATCAGCAACCCCCACCTCCTCAAATGGGCCAAATGTCCCCACATGTACCGCACTCCCCTATACAGATGAACCCCCCACCACTGCAGATGCCTCAGCACATGCCCCCCTCTCCTATGCACATGCCTCCTGCAGAGCCGATGATCCATAGCCCCCCTGAGATGCATCAAATACCCTCCTTCACCCCGCAGAGGGACTTCTACGACCAAATGGCGACCATGGTCAGTATCTGGGAAAAGATCATGTAGCCGTCTTCAGGAGTCTTTATCCATAGAAGTGTTTTCGCCTACTAAAATATGAACTACTGTGTTTGTTGGTGCTGCAGGGTCCTGGGAGGAGGTCGAGGACTGTTTCTCAATCTTCAATGCATATGGTGCGTTTGTGTTTCACATAAATAACGCTCATCTGTTCGGGTTTGTTAAGTTCTGATTTGGAGCAGGTTGTTCGAGCTAAGAAATGTAAAATAAAGCTGATTGAACATGTGGATTTAACATTGGTTTAACCTTAAGGAAAATACATTGTTTTTACCAGGAGAGGGAGTCCATCAATGAGTTACTACTTTAAGACGGTAAAGAAGAAAGAGTCAAGCTGATGAGTCTCGTCTGAAAGGTTTATCTATGTTTATATAATGTAAAAATACTCATTTGTCCAGGGTTAGGCTTTTTGGGTTTATTTGTTTTCAGCTTTGATTTAGAGCAGGTGGTTTTTCCTAAGAAATAAAAAGAATGTTCATTTAATTTCGCTTGAGATCTCAAAATCTCTACAATTGTATTGTTAAGAGAAAGTCCACTACTAGACAGTGAAAAAGAAGAAGCTCCCAAAACAATCTTCATTTTTTTAATCCATCATTTTGAAATAGGATAGTTTGCTTTTACAGTTTCCAGAAAATGTATTGGATCTCTAATTGATTTGTTACTGCTTTAATGTTTTTGGATGATATATACAACCCAAAAACATATATATATATATATATATATCTTTAATATAATATATCTAACATTCTGGCTGGTATTTTCTCGTCTGCAGCCTTCGGGGCGTCGCTCTCGCACCACCTCTGAGTCGTCCACCCACTCTGGAGTAAGAGAGAGGAGCAACTCGGTGGTGAAGCAGGCCTCTCCTCCTCCCCCCTCCATCCCTGAACAGCCCCGCAAAGAGGATGCCAAGAGAGCCAAGAAAAACTCCCCGAAAAAGGTTCATATTCCTCCATCACTCCTCTGTTCTGTCAGTTCTCCGACAGGCTTTCATTACTCATCAGAAGTGTTGGGGTCGTTTTTTTGTTGTTGATTTATTTTTATTTTGATATACTTTATTAATCCCTGTGGGGAAATGGTTTCTCTGCATTTGACCCATCCTAGTGTTAGGAGCAGTGTGCTGCCATTTTGAACGGCGCCCGGGGAGCAGTGTAGGGAACGGTGCCTGGCTCAGGGACACCTCGGAAGCACTTGGTCTTGCCGGGACTTGAACTGGTGACCTTCCAGTTGCCGAGCCAAGTCCCTATCGACTTCGCCACCACCGCTCCAAAAAGTTACTTTGGGGCATTATTTTTTTAGTTACCCCAAAAAGTAATGCATTGCACATTACTAGTTGATGTGTAATGCGGCGATGAGCACCAACCCTTAATAGGACATCACTGCACACAGACCTCTGCTCTTTGGTGAACATCATGTTTTGTGTAACTCAGTTTCATTAGAACTCGGGTCCAGGTCGTTTCCATGGAAACGGGCAACCTTTCCTCCACAATGTAGCTGAATCAAACCTGCTATGAGAGTCTGAGATATGTGCTCCGTCTCTTCATCCATGAACTCGAAAGCGAAAAGGGATGTTTGATTTTTCTGTCCTCCCGTAATGCAGATAGTTGAAGACCTTAAAAACACAGGGCCCGAGCTGAGTAACTAATGTCATTACTGCTGTTATCAACAGGTACGCGTTACTTTGGAGCAGGTTTCCCCAAACACTGCTAATCAGTGCTATTTCTTTGTCTCACAGGGTGGAGGTGGTGGAGGAGTCGGAGGCTTGCTGAGCTGGATCATTAGGAAGGGGAAGAACGAGGCTCACCTGCCGGACGACAATGACAAATCTGTGAGTTAGAGGTGTTATTTTTGCAGGTCTTATATTCACGTACCTCTGTGTTCGGGTTGTGTGTATTTATCTAAGAAGGGACAATGCACATTACATCAAGGATCAGTCCTCGGCCCCACCCTTTTCACCATATATATATCCCCCCTTGGTCGTGTCATCAGCCGGCATGGAATATCTTTCCATTGCTATGCTGATGACACACAGCTCTACATCAGAGCAAACCCAACCCCCTCTGCACCTCTGCCATCATCCACAATAACCACATGCCTGGAGGAGATAAAGGTGTGGATGAAGCACAACTTCCTCCAGATGAACAGCTCCAAGACTGAAGCCATTCTTATTGGCACTCCACATCAGGTCCGTTCATTCGCCATCACCAGCATCACCTTCCCGGGCAGAACATTCCACTCTCATCAACGGTTACCAATCTGGGAGTTCAAATGGATCCTCACCTGAACTTTGAGGCCCACATCAAGCAAATATGCAAGACCTCTTTCTACCACCTGAGAAATATTGCGAAACTCCGCCCCACACTCAGTCTGCCAGATGCTGAAAAACTTGTCCACGCCTTTGTCTCCTCCAGGCTGGACTACTGTAACGCACTTCTCTTTGGGATTCCTAGCAAGAACATCCAGAAGCTGCAATACATCCAAAACACCGCTGCTAGGATCCTGATGAGAGTGTGGAAGTACGAACACATCACACCCATCCTCAAATCACTGCACTGGCTCCCGGTCTCAATCAGGATTGACTACAAAATCACCCTCTTCACTCATCAGTGCATATATGGAGATGCTCCCTCCTACATCAAGGAATTGCTCACCCCACAAACCTCCTCGAGGAACCTACGTTCAGTAAAGGCAAACCTCCTCATCCCACCAAGGACAAAACTGAAGACCATGGGAGACCGAGCCTTCTGCTCCGCTGCTCCGAGACTGTGCCCTCCCAAACCAGCTGAGGACACCACAGACTGTGGAGGCTTTCAAAAAAGGCCTAAAAACGCATCTTTTTAGAATAGCCTTTAACTAGATTTTAAATCCCCCACATTATGCCATGCCGGCATGAATGTCACGGCTTTTATTATGTTGTTTTTAATTGTTTTTAAATAGTTTTTTATTGGTTTTGTGTGGTTTTGTTTCACCCTTTTTAATTTTGTAGCACTTTGAGTTTTGTTTACGTAAATGAAAAGTGAGCTTATAAATAAAATATATTATTATTATTATTATTATTAACACAACACTTGAGTCCATCATTTGCATGTGCCAGATAAAGCCAAAGGGGCTCATTTTCATCTGCAGTCCCTGGCAAACAGACAAGAGCCCATTTGCACAGACAGAAACACATGAGCACAATGACAGCACATTTAAGATCACATTAATACTAGCCTTCTTAACACATAACAACATGTGCATCAGCACAGATAAATGTTTATAGGCACAAAGAATTACAGAAATAATGAAATAACCCCTGATCCAGATCATGTGAGCAGCAGTAATGACAGCCCTGTGTTCTTTACTGTCAGATCGTTTGGGACGAACAGAAGCAGAGATGGGTGGACATGAACGAGCCTGAGCAGGAGGTCCGTACTGCATCAGATCCACAGCTATCACAACACACTGGATTTGTGTATATCATTCAAGATCAACCAGTCCTGATTTAATGTTGTTTTTTTCAGAGTAAGCCTCCTCCTCCTCCCCCATGCTTCCCCAAGATGCCTCAGATGGCTGGGCCCACTGCCCCCCCGAGTGGGGGTCCGCCTGTCAACATGTTCTCCAGGAGGGCAGGTGAGGTTCACGCCATGATAAACCTTCAATTACAAGATGTTGATGAAACAAATGGAGTTGCAACAATCAGTCGACAAATCATCCGCAACCTTTTTTTGATAATAGATTAATCTTAATGCTACGTTCACACCGGACGCGATGCGAATATTCGCTTCGCTCTAATCGCTCAACTTTCACCGCGGCTTACAGTTTTTTTTATCGCGTCATTCAAAACAGACATACCGTTGACGCGCCGCTGGCTCGGGAGCTACAACCACAACAAAATGAACATATTTTACCGTGATTACATTGTAATACACGTTTCTAAATGATGCCGAAGTAACAACATACTGATAGTAAAAACCATGAATTAATGCTTGACAAGTCTGCAGACAAGACGGCAGGCGAAAAACCTTTTAAAATGCGTGTTTTCTGAATGGAGATTGGGTCGACCAGGCTAAGCTAACGTTGTATATGCTCATTCCACACTCATAACAACGGCCTACAGACATAAATAAACCAGCGACTGTATTCGCCATGACACAGACAGTCTGTGGTTTGTACTTGTTTAACTTCTGTACCGTTTCTGAACAGATATGAGGAGCTGATCTCTGTGTGCTAACAGCTAATGGCTGATGTTTTCTGGTTGAACGTCAGTGACGGCAGGCTGAGATCCTCACCTCTGATTGGCTTCCGCGAGAACGCGTCACGTGAATTTGACGCTCGAGTTGAAAAAATGGAACTCTCGCGTTTGACGCGGCCCCCTTCAATCGCGTGATTCGCGCCGCGTCCACCGCTTCATGCGCGCCGTCGGAGCGAATTCGCGTCTGATCGCGTCTCTGCATTGACTTTAC